GCAACAGCTTACCAGGTGGTCCACTGTTTCTTCAGCTTCTTTGCATAGGCGGCACTTACTGTCTGTTGCTGTCTTCTCAATTTTGACTTTATATGCATTTTTCCTTAAGGCTTGGTCTTGTGCAGCCAGAATTAGTCCCTCGGTCTCTTTCTTCAATTTTCCTGCTCTTAGCCATTGCCAGGTCTTGTTATTATCTGCTTTCCCAGCTATTTTTTTAATGTATTGGCCATGTAGTGCTTTGTCTTCCCATGCCTCTATTCTGTTCTTCATTTGGTCTTTCTTGTATTATTATTATTATTATTATTATTATTATTATTATTATTATTATTATTATTATTATTATTGTTATTATATCATCATTATCATTATTATTCATTAGACGTGAACCTCAGTCAACTGAACATTCAAATTGATTGGTGCTGATGGTTGATACGGGTTGCTGCTAGCATCGTAGGTATCAACCAGGTACCTCCTTCAAATGTAAGATGTTCCGAGTAGTGCAGTTTTTTGTAGCATTGCTGGAATTATTGCAGAAAGCTGCAGTTATTATCTATTATTATTAATTACTACTACTATTACTATTACTACTACTTCAACTACTACTACTTCAGCTCCCAGAATTCTGGGAGCTGAAGTCCACAAGTCTTAAAGTTGTCAAGGTTGCGGACCCCTGCCTTAGCCAGAGGCGTGTTTGCGAGTCCACTCAAGGGTGCTGTTGTGCTTCCTCTTTCCCCACTTAAAAGAGAGAGAGAGAGAAAAAACCCAGATCTAGCCAAAGGAGTCCTGAGCCTAGAATCAGACCAAACCCAGGCGCCTCCTGACGAACTAAGCAACCTGCCCGATTCAGGGGTTCGGGCATCAGCTAGATCAAGAAGGAAAAGAACGGCAGCGGCGTCGGGAGCCCAGCGCATTATTCGGAGCGCCGCTTTCTTTCCCACCCTGTTGTGAGCTTCGGTCGGAATATTGGCGGTCGTTCCAGCGGGGCTGTTTGTTTCCTCTCTTCCAGATCTTGGGACCGAAGGATTCTTGAAGATCAGCCAGATGTTCGCTTGGAGGAGGCCTTGTCCCCGGAGGAGCCAGTAAAACAAAAGCAAATTTCAACTTTCTCCCAGCAGTCGCGCGGCACTTTCCGGGTGTCACCTCCTCCCCACTTCCCGAGGCAAAAACAATTCCCAGGGTTAGGTGGATGCGTGGGAATCCGTTCCACTGGAAGCTGCCGGGCCGCCTTCCTCGGCGAGAGAAAGAGAGAGAGAGAGAAAGAGGGAGAGAGAGAGGGAGGGAGAGGGAGGGAGGGAGAGAGGGAGAGAGGGAGAGAGGGAGAGAGGGGAGAGAGAGAGAGAGAGAGGGAGAGAGAGGGGGGAGAGAGGGAGAGAGAGAGAGAGAGAGAGAGAGAGAGAGAGAGAGAGAGAGAGAGAGAGAGAGAGAGAGAGAGGCCGGCCCGTTCACATGAAGCTTTTCCTAGGCGTCGCGAGCCCAACCAGCCTTGGCGCCGCTAAATCTTCCTCTTTTAACTTTCGCTTTCGCGGTTAGGGGGTCGTTTCGACCGATTTTTGGAAAGACGTATAAAATATCTACACCCGGGGGAAACCAAATCGCGTTCGATGCAGGACCCCCGCGAAAGGAACGTGTTTGCTGCTCCTTCGGATGCGGGTGCTAAAGACGCGTGGTTGCCGACGGCTCGGGGGAGCCATTTCGGTCACGGATGAGTAAAGGCGGAGAGCAAAGCCATCCAAGCGGGGATGTTGGGGCTGGTCTGGTTCCTGCGCCGGCGCTTGACCCGGGAACGTTTCCTCTGCGATTCGGTAGGAAACCCGCGAAACGAAGGGGTGGGGGGCGTTTTCGACGCCCTTCCATACTTTTGCGGGGCCATGGCTTGCGATCTGGCCTCGTCGGCAGCTCGCGAAGGAAACCCGGGGTAGCCTTAGAGAGTCTTGGGGGGGGGGGCGCCTTAAAATTCACCCCATGTATCTTTGCAGGAGCACTCGAGGTTCACAGCGCCTTGGTCGGACGCAAGGAAGGAAAGATCCTCGCCCATTCCAAATACAGACCCCGGTTCCTTATCTTCGATCCAGTTTAGCACTTCAATGGCTGGCTCGCACCCAGTGGCGGGTGACTCTCTCAGCAACCCTTTCCCCGTTATTTTCCTCTTCCTTTCCATCCCTCACCCCATCCCCCCCGCGCATAATATTGTCCTCTCCGAAATGTATTCTCCGAAATGTATTCCCCTTATGAGACATGTGAGCAAGAAAGAGTACGAGATGTCTTTAAGAAGCCGCAAGAACCTTCGTTGGGTACATACCCCACTCTTAGGCAGACGCGTTAAAAAGGCATTTAGTCCCCCAGAGGAGGGGGGGGGAGAGAAGGTTCCAAGAGAAGCTGATTTTCTCAACCCCCTTAAGGGAGTTTATATTTCCAAGTGAATTCTGTAGTCTGTTTTAAGCGCTTAATGCGAAGCGCCGGGCCGTTGAATCAGAGACTCCCGTTAAGGAGACCTCACCAAGCAGAAGACGTGGTTTTGGAACCCCGAGCGTTTTTATTTATTTATTTATTTTTAAGCAATCCGATCTCCCCAAATTGGCGTCATTTTGAGAGAGAGAGAGAGAGAGAGAGAGAGAGAGAGAGAGAGAGAGAGAGAGAGAGAGATCTCCCCCCAGCAAGAAAATAGCCGTTTGAAAAGTCACCAGAGTTACTGTGGTGCAAATTTCCAAGGACTACATTAAAAATAAAACGAAAGCTGAAAGTACATCGGCGTTAAGTGCTCTGGCTCGATTAGATGAGATTGTTCGTTTGCTTTGCGTCAAGGTGGGAGTAATGCAAGTAAATCTATGGGTGTGGGTACGCGCGCGCAGAAAACGACTGTTGTTAGTTGCGAAGTCGTGTCCGACCCATCGCGACCCCATGGACAACGTTCCTCCAGGCCTTCCTGTCCTTTACCATCTTCTGGAGTCCATTTAAGCAGAAAACGATAGGGGCACAAATGAAGTCTAATCTGACGTTCTGCTAGATAAATCTCTCTTCAAAGGAACGGCGACGTCCGTATTGCTGTGGCTTTTTGAAATAGTCCTCCTTGCATTGCCATATTCAAAACTATTTTTTTTAAAAAAAAATATTTTCCTAATTTCAGATTGCTTTTGTATTTCAGTCCCAGGCGGCTTTCATAATTCATTGAACTGCATATTATTATTTCTGGGACTGTTTAAAATTCAGCTCTGATTTCACCCAATCAGAGTGGGTTAGAAATATTTTCCACCTTGGCTGTATCTACCAGTTCAGGTAAAGGATATGGGTGAGTGCCGCACCCCCTTACATAAGTAGGTAGGGGAAGAAGCCTCCAAATATAATGTAGGAGGGAAGAGGGAGGGAGGAAAGAGGGGCTCTTATAACAAAGGGGGGCATCTTTTGTTTTTTGGAAAATAAATTAACCAGTCAGCCAACGCAAACCCCCCCCCCCGCAGTCAAATTTGTCCAAACACCTTTGCGCCACTTGCAAACAAGGTTACGGACCTGCGAGCCTCGTGCGGGGGACAGTTTTGCAAAGGGCTCCTAAAGTTTGGAGCTTAAGGGAAAAGAGAGACAAAAGCCCCTTGCAAGCACCATCCAAGCGGCTTCGGCCTAAAAGAGTTGTGGGCTGTTCTGTTTCAGATCCTATCCAAAGGCATAAGATGAGCGGGGCGGGTTTTCCCTCTGGAGGACGCCCGCTCGGCTTCCTTGCTGGCCACTGCGAGCTCCGCAGCATAGACTTCAGGACAGGGTGGACGATGAATGTGCTTTTCTGCATCCAAACAAAGAGGATACTAAGCAATGAACTTCTGAGCAAAATGGAAGCAGTTTCTCTTCAGAGACAGCTTCTCTCCAAAGAAGCTCTTTGGAGCGAAAACCTGGATGCGCGGGTCTTTAGTAAGAGGAGGAGGACAATGGGCACTTTATGCATAAACGTGGGCCATCTAAAGTACGGCTCAGAATTTAAGACAATTCGATAGATGGGTACTCTCACTTAAAACGGTAAAATTAATCAGCTAACAAAAAAACCCCAAGACTTTGTCCACAAGCCTGGTTTGCTTCTTAGTTTCATTTATTGGATCGTTGACTCCATCGACAAACTATATATCTATCCCTCGTGCAGCGATAAGGGGTGGTTCAGAGGAATCACACCCTCTTTCAAAGACGAGAAGTGACCGGAAAAAAAGCCCATCGGGTTCAATCATCAGCATCTAAAGGGAGGATTAAGACAGACTCTGCCAGCCCGCCTGCCAATGGGTTCTCACAATACGCTTTACCCGACCAGTGTAGAGACTTCGCGGCTGCAGGAAAAAGAACGCTAAGCTGGATCGGCGTTGAACGTGGTTAGTTTGTTTTGGGAGAACAGGCCACTGATTAATTCAATAACTTGAGTATTCAGCATAGTGTTAGATGGCTCAAATCCCTAACGGAGTCGAAGGCGCTTTCGGGGAGCCGAGCTTACGTTAAAACAAATAAACGCCAGCCTTACGAGGAGGCGGGGGGGGGGGCGTTAGAAGTCAGATAGTTCCAACTCATTGGGGTTTCGCGTCGGGAATAGTTAACCGCGGACGTGGAACTCGTTGTAGCTCCAACGCGCCTCTTGTTAAGAATCAGGCCGTCTCTCTCCCGGATCAGACATCGCCATTTGGCGCATTTTGGCTCAGCTGCTCTTCGCGACCGGTGCAGCTGGCGCCTTCGCATCTCCGTGGCCCTTCCGTTGGCTTCGAGACCACCAAAAGTGAAATAAACTGCCCGCGCGGAGCAGGGGAGAAAGTTGCCCAATGCGCCTCTTTCACCCCTGAGAAGCGCTGCTCCCTCACACCCCCGCAAAGTGGGGACTCCGACCCACGGGGCGACCAAGACCCGTCGTTTAGAGCGGGCATCTCCCCTTAAAATGAGGCCCTTTGGGATAAGCCGGTGGAGTCGCCAGATTCTTCAAGCCCGATTGCCACCCGGCTCCGGGTCACTTCGGTTAAACAAACGAAAACACCCGGGCTTACCTTTCTGAACTCCTGGCCCCAGCGAGCCCCACGTCTGGTTTTTGCCTTCTTTGAACAAAGTTTCCCCAACCGGATCTGCAGGAAAAGAGGAAGGGGTCGGGAGGCGAGGAGCACAACACCCCAAATCGGAGCCGATCCCCGCCCGCAGCTTCGGTCAGCTCATCTTTTGGCGGGAGAAAAACGCCGTTCCCCCGAAGGAGCCTCGCCTTCCCCCCCCCCCGCCGCCCGCCTCTGCCGCTCCCCCGCCTCCCCGCCAAGCCGCTATGAAGCCAGGAAACGCGTTCAGGAAAAAGGAAATCCGACTTCCGACGGGAGCCGTCGGGGCCGCTTTAAAGCGGGAAGGCCAAGGCGGCTCGGCGCGCCTGCCAGCGCCTCCCGGGTAGCAAAGAGACGATCTGGGAGTGGGGGAAGAAAAGGGATCCGATTCCCTCGGCGGAAAGCAGGCAGGCCAGGCCCGGGAGGAGTTTAGAGCGGCTGGGCGGCCGAGCCCGCGTCCGTCTGCCCTACCTGGCAGGTACATGTTGAGCAGCAGGGTCCGGGCCGCGCCGCGTCTCATGGCAGCTCTGCGCGCACCCCGCGCCCGCGGGGGGTATTATGGCCTTCGCCCGGGAAGAGGGTGGCTGCGGCTGCGGTTGTTATTATTATGTATTGCCATCGCCACCACCCGCGGAGGCCGAGCGCAGGTTCGGGAGGGGGGGGGAGAGGAGGGGCCAGATGGGGCGGGGGAGCAGTAGCCTGGCAACGCGCGAGGGGCGCGCGCCTGCAATTTCCTCTGCGCTTTAATTAAAGGCGCGGCGCGGGCGCTTATCGGCCCATCAGACTTTAATAAAGTTTCCCCCGTTAAAGATCGCCGTTTCTATGGAGAGAGGCAGCCGCGGCCGCCGCGTTTTCCGCCTCCTTAACTCTTTGCAAACAGGCAGCGCCTGCCTGACCTGGCAAGGCCCGGCCGGCTCCGGCGGCGCTTCTGCTCCAGCGCCTCTGAGCCAACAAGCGCGCGAATCTCGGCTGAGGGACGGGGGCCCGGCGGGTCCACGCGGGCCAAGAGAAGAGATGCAGCTTGGGCGGGCGTGGAGATGGCGGCAGGGGGGGGAAACCCAGGCCGAAGACTCCAACAGTGGCACCAGCCGGCTGGGGGAATCGAGCCTCTCGGCCTGAACTTTTTCATTCAATAATTTTTCTGTTTTCTGTGGACAGACCCAAAGCCTTCTCCAAATTCATTTGGTTCCAAAACGGCATAATTGTCATTCAAAGCCTGGTGAGAAATGGCAATAATAGAGTAGCTCAGCTGAGCACTGTAGAGATTTTTTTTTTCTTCTGCTCCAGACTATCTGGACAAGTCTCTGCAGTTTTCTTAACAAGGTTTTTCAGAAGCTGTTTGCCATTGCCTGCTTCCCAGAGTTGAGAGAAAGTGACTGGCCTAAGGTCACCAAGCTGGCTTCCTGACTAAGGTGGAACTAGGATTCCTAGTCTCGGAGTTTCTTGCCTGATGCTTTAACCACACTAAACCGGCTCTCCGAGCCTGTTAAGTGAAGGCCAAACCAATGAGGGGATCGTGAATAGCTTACAGACCCTGCTTGCCTACCTGATATCTTCCATATCTATTAGATTCCTTTCTGTCACTCCCAGTAAGGCTGGTTAATACACCTGAAGGCCGGATTACAGTATTACATGCAAGCAGTACATATATATATATATACATAGCCTGTGGTGCAAAGTGTTTATCCTGTTTCACTTCTCAGGGAAATCTCAGACCTCTTGAAGTTCTGGCCTTGGGAGCACTTAGATTTCAGGTTTCACGGTTTACATTTCTTTCCGTATCCCTGTATGCATTTGCTGGCTTCTAACTATAATCTAACAGACAATAAGTGTAGAATCATAGAGGTGGAAGGTAACTATTTAGGGCCATCCAATTTCTGTACTTGCCTCTTCTGTGCAAGAATCCAACTCAGAATAACCCAAAGAAATGGCTGTTTAGCATCCATTATGCATCTGACGAGGTTGCTATGCATAGGTGTACACAGTGCTCTTAGTAATCCTTAATACTTGTCTGGATCATTTCTATTCTGTAGGTGTGGAAGGATGCTGGAGGCCTTTCCTCTTGTTTGTTAAGCTGGCAGAAAACTATAAGACCGCCCACCAATTCCCAGTCATATAATGGAAACAAATCAAGGAGAGAAGCAACCTAGAACTAAGGAGAAATTTCCTGACAGTCAGAACAATTAATCAGTGGAACAACCTGCCCCCAGAAGCGGTGAATGCTACAACACTGGAAGTCTTTAAGAAGAGACTGGACAGCTATTTGTCTGAAATGGTATAGGGTTTCCTGCCTGAGCAGGGGGTTGGACTAGATGACCTTCAAGGTCCCTTCCAACAGTAGTAGTAGTAGTAGTAGTAGTAGTAGTCACCTGACTTCTCTCCAAGGCAATGGATGATCAAATCTATCACCTTGAGACTGACCTTAGAAGGTGTCAGAGGTGTGTGTGTGTGGGAGAGAGAATGCTACCTCAACACCTGTACAGCTAAGGATGACATAAATCTGTCTCATTCGAGGTAAAAGTAATGTGATGCAGATCCAGCAGAAAAATAAATGTTGACGGCATGGTTTTTGCCAAGATAAGATCCAGGTGAGGAAAGGCTCTCAACGTGCACTGTATCTCTTAATATTATTTCATTTTATTTTCCAAAAATCAAGACTTCAGGGAAATTTTCCTTGATTTAAGGCTGTCCCATTGAACAACTTGCGTAGCACAGCATTGTTCCTGACTCATAATAGTGGATTATTGTGAGTTCCATATGATATTCTACTGGAAACAGATGTAGAAGGATAGCATTGCATTAATTTTCACAATGTTTTTGCAGAATATTTTTATGAAAAAGAAGCTTTTTGAAATGCAAGAATTTTTTTAAAAAACTAAGCCTGTGTTATTCTGTGATTTTGCCCAAACTTACAATAAACTGCAATTTTTGCCAATGATGCAATAGCATTATCTAGATCCAGAAACTGATTCCAGAGGTTTCACCTAATCCCTGTGTTAAAACATAGAGAAGAGACTGGATTTAAAAATAAATATTTATTTACAAATATATTATTAAAACTTTATCCTACCTCCCCCCCCCCTTACCTGCTTGGATCACCTCATCTTGGTCACCAAACTTTGATTATTTTAAATTTGCATCTCTACACAGCAGAGACATCTAGTGGCTGCTTGTGGGAAACGTGAGCTACATTTTGTGATCAAGAGAGCAGGTGGTAGCAGTAGAAAAGGATGGATTTCCAGAGGGGAGGGGAGAGAGGGGAGGGGAGAGGAGTGGCACTTCAGGGGTGGCCAAAAATCTGATGCTTTCTTCTTCTCCCCTTATCCATATGGGTTGTGTTTATGACACCTGGTAAATAAGATGACTGCATGATTTACAGTAATTATGGCTGCACTTCCTTTACTGATAATATGGAGCAATGGCTTTGTTCAGCCGGTGCTCACATGCTCCCAAATGCTGCAACATAGACTGCTGATAAGAGGCCTCAGGGCCTGTTCTGGAGATTTTCAAGGGATTTCTCTTCCCTGTAAATATGCAGGAAATGCTTTATGTATGTATGTATGTATTTATTACATTTATATGGCCACCCATTTCATATGATATGACTCTGGATACATATAAACAAACCAAAAACCAATTTTAAAAACATTCAGGAAATACAAAAATTAATATTACTATAAAAAAGCTAAGAGAGCATTAGATTACAAACAATAAGGACACCCCTCTCTCTCTCTCTCTCTCTCTCTCTCTCTCTCTCTCTCTCTCTCTCTCACACACACACACACACACACACACACACATACCAATCCTCAGAAATGGTCCAGAAGAATATCATGATTGATGGTATCAAAGGCCAATGAGAGGTCAAAGAGAGCTAGGATGAATGCACAATATCCATTGTGCTCTTGCCAATGCCGATAAGAAGCACAGCCAATACTGATTCTATCCATTACCCAAGCCTGAAACTTGAGTGAAAGGGGTCCAAATAATCTACTTCATCCTGGCACCTCTGAAGCTATCACCTATTCTACCATCTTGTCTAAAAAGGGGAGGTTAAATACTAGATGAAAATTGTCCAGCCTGCTGGGCCCAGTGATGTTTTCTTGAGGAAAGTGCAAACCAACACTTTTTTGAGAGGCAAAGGATCGGCCCCTCATCCAAGGAAGAATTCACCACTGCTAGAACCAACTCACATGACATCCCCCCCCTCCCCCTACAACTTTAATTAACCAGAAGGGAGATGACTCTAAAGAGCACCCTGACCACTTCCTTAGGCCCAATAGGTTCATTCCCACATAACAGGGCAAGACTCTACCCTGGGAACTACAACATGGCCAGCATCCAGCGGTGAATGAATTGTAGCCATTGTGAACAACAAATGCATAGCAAATTCTTCTGCATGAGTCTCCAGAGGGGTCTCTGAGGTACCTCTATCCAAGAGGGCACAGATTATTTAAAACAGGATGGTGAAATAACTATCTAGGGATGCAATAAGGGTGGAGAACTGTTGTGACTTCACTGCCCTCACTGCCATGCGATAGGCCATAACAGTGTGTCTAACCCGTGTTTAATTGAGTTTGTTCTACACTGAACCTCAGCAACATTCTAGATGTCTCTCCCCGTTTCATCTCCCTCAGTGCTTCAGTAAATCAAGAAGAGTGATGGGATCCATTAGAGGGGGGAGGTCACCTAGGCGCGATCCAATCCAAAGCCTTGTTCACTTCTTGTCAAGGTCCCAGATGGAGTGTGCAGCAGAGCAGCAGGAACAGTCCCCAATTCCCTCTGAAACCTATCAGGGAAAACGATCTAATAAATCCAGCTGTGGTGGAAAGTGGTGCTAGAGCATCCAGGGTAATCAGGACATGATCTGACCAGGACAAGGAGGACACAAGACATTCCTCAATTCCAGATCACACTGTCACTGCTTTGCCAGGAAAACAGATCAGGTGTGTGATCGCTGTTTTGTGTTGAGCTCTGGATAACCTGGCCAGGCCCTGGCTGTCATGGTAGTTATGAACGCCTGAGCTTCATCTGACCAAATCCCCAGAGAAGGCAGATTGACATCTTCCAGAACCATAATCTGGAGAGCTGATGCGGCAATGCAGACAAGCAGCTCAGGCTGTGCAATAGGGAAGCTGCTACAACAGCAAAAAGCTGACCTGTCCATAGAGTCCAACTTAATGAACAGAGTGTCACACCTAGCAATCTGTGGAGCAATACCTCTGAAAACCTTAGGAGACTTTTGGATGACAATCACACCTCCATGCCTGTCCTGGGGCCTCATCTGATGCCACACCTGAAACACCCAGCTGGGCACATTTAAGAAAGGGCCATCCCCCTTTTCTGGACACAGCCAAGTAGTAGTAATACATGCCAGGCTGGTCCATTCATCTGTGACTGAATCACAAATAAAGGAGACATTATAGGCTGACTTGGCATTTAGCAATAGCAGCCAAAAGCCAGGGGCCCTGAAAATCAACTGACCAGCACGGAGTTGCGTTCAGGGAGTTGGAACATGGACCTGGAATGGGACACTGGGCTTGGATCTTGAGAACAGCCTGTTCCCCCCATTCCTTCCTTATGGTTCTTCCTTCTTAAAAATAGCAAGAAAGAACAAAGCAAGACTAGAGACTGGATTTCCGGGACAAAGGTGTTTCTAAGGCAGGGGTCCTCAACCTTGGCAACTTTAAGACTTGTGGACTTTGGGAGTTTAAGTCCACAAGTCTTAAAGTTGCCAAGGTTGGAGATCCCTGTTCTAAGGTAAATAAATAAATAGGCTGTACTTTTCTTGTAAACACAGTTTACAGTGAGCTTTACTAGAAAAATAAACACTTGGAGGGGTCAAGTGTTGAAACCCAGTTAGTTTCCATATCATTAGTGCTGTTGCTGTACCACTCAGCCTTTGGCACTTTGCCTCTGGCACTTTCTAAATATCAAGACTAGAACTGATGGGGGATGGTTTGGAAGAGAGGTTCTCTGCTTCCTGAACTCTTTCTTTTGTAACCATCTTACAAAACCAAAACTGGCTATTTCCTTTCTGCCTTGAAAGAAAGACCTGCCTGAAGCAGTACCTACTAATTCTAAGAACTAAACTCACAAAAGCTGAAGGGAATGGGATAACTCCTGAAGTGCCTTATAAGAAGTGGGAACAGTTCCTGAAGAAATGTTGAATGTCCTTTTTTGTGGCGTGACCCCTTGGGCCCAGCGTGTTGCAGACTCAGGCGAGGGCACTCTGGCCATTCTGATCTGTCCCGGTGTTTGGAAGGCTTCTCCTTATACTTAACAAGCGGAAGGGGCATTTCTGCTGCTTCACCTTTCATGCCCCAGACTTGCTTTAGCTGCCTGGGTTCTAGTAGCCAGCCGCAGGCAACTGAAAACAAGCCCAGCACAAGTAGGCATATGGCACAGAGCAGTCGTGATCAGAATGGAGTTTTGCTCCCCGAAGCTTCCTGTGTGGTCTCTGGAGAAAGGCTGTCCTGAGCCAGCAGTGGAAATATAGAGTGGCTATCAAAGGCCTTCTCTACCTGGGGGAACTGTTTAATTTGCAGAACAGGCAGTCAAGATCCACACGAAGCCCAGGAGGTCTCAGCTGCCCTCTGAGAGAGGTGGAGAATTCTAGATCCAGCCAGTGTGGCTGATATAAGGAATGCTGAGAAGATCACATTTGGAAGATAACAGATTCCCCTTCTTTGCATTTAGTCCAGAGGCAGATACTTTGAAGGGTGAAGAACCACCTGCTCTTTCTGCACCCTTGAAATGCACAGGAGAGGGAGGGGTAGTATAGAGATTTGGAACAAACCATTTTCATTGACTGGAGCAGGCAGGATGGGCAAAGAAGAAGTTAGGAAAAAGTACTTACCATCACCTTCTTAAAACCATGGAGCCTTACGAACAAAGCATCTATATCAAGATATTTGGGCCAAAGCCAAATCAAATGTATATTACTTTTAACAATTGGATTTTATTTCTTCAGAGTTGAGGAATCTCTTTAACACAGGAATTCTGTCTTGGTGCTCCACTTCACTTCTGATATTTTTTGGCCCTAAACCACGTGCTGGAAAAGCCTGGAAATGAAACTGAATTATAGAAAGAGCCCTGGGATATGTAAGTCTTTGTAGTCAAAGAAAACCCTTCTAAAATCTTAACATATGGGGGGGGCATTTTGTTTTGACCCAAAACCCCATTAGGCTGGAGATTAGGATTACAGCTGGGAGTGATGTGGAGATTTGGGGATGGCGGGGGGGGGGGGGAGGAAATGAGGTAGAGAGGCAAGATAAATTCCAGCTTCCAGAAATGAGACACTGGAAGACAGGAAGGCAAATTTAGTTCATCCAGAGATAAGCAAGATAAATTACACAGCTTATGAACTTTTTTCTGTTGAGATCAATAAATCCATAATCTATTACTCTCCGATATAATTAGAAATGGAACTAGCGCGTCACCTCTATGTACCGATCAAAAATGAAAGATAAACCACTTTGGCTGTACATATAGCTCCCCTTAGTTGAAAGAAAGAGTTTTTGCTTTCACCTGACCTGCCCTTTCTCACTGGAATAAAGCAATCTGGTACACCTGCACACCTCCAGGAGGTTTTCTGCCCCATGGAAGCAAAAAATACTTTTGAAAACTCTCTTCCCTTCTCTCACGCACCAGGCATCAGAGCATATGCCCATAGCACAGTCCACCACATATCTTGTTTCTACTTACCTGCATGACTGCTGGGGACAGAAGCTGAGTTGCAGGTTTGCTACCTGTTTGGAAAGGGAAGGGAGGGTAGTAGACCTCAGAGCTCTGGTTAGGAGGCTGGAGGTGTGGAGGAATGTTTGTGCAAAGGGAGAGGCCTGCAGCCAGCACTTCCTTATTGGAGACTGGAAAGGAACAGCCTCAAAGTGGACTGTCTGTGCCAAACAATACAAAGGAGGCAGCCATCAGTTTTGGTTTCAGAGGCTGGGTGACAAACAAAAAAGAGACTAGCTGAGCCAGACCACAAATATCACATTGCCAGGAAGCTAACTGAACTACTTCGGCGGGTCACTGCTAAGGGCAGAGAGGCTTCTCAGAATAGTTATCCGATAATATTTTCCTTTAAAAAGTGTGTGCCGCCCCTACAGTGTTTCTGTAGTCTTGTGGCATTTACCGGATGCCACAAGTGACCACCACTTTGCACCATAATCATTTTGCATACAGCGAGATAAATCCATGCATTAAAGAATTTAGAATCTTCACCAAGATTGGTGATTGTCTTTGGAAGGGTGGTGGTGACAAATGAAGAAAGCAGAACGTAGCCGGCGTTAAGCAATTGTAAATTACTTTACAATATTGTCCATATTGCTAATCAAAGTCCTCATCATTTGGGTTGTTTGACGGTGCTTTCAAGGTGGGATAGCTCAAACTCTTTACTTGTTTGGGATATCTGTGTTTATACTGAATTTGTAATTTGAAGAGTATCTCCTCTGAGTATCAAATGATAAGAAAAACTGTCGCCTTCTGTGCCCTGCTTTTAAAGATGGACTTTCATACCAGTCATGGCTCTGAGGTTGTCAGGAGTTGCTTCTGCTTCCTCACATTATGTCTATTGTGCAAAATGCAGTCACGTGGCTCCACTTTTTTACAGTAGACATGAGATTTGCCTTGGAAGCATCATCTGTATTCAGGTCCCGTTGGAATTCTGTCAGATGGTGTCAGATTAGCTCACTCTTAAGCAATACAAGCGTTATATTCTGCCCGGAATCATTTGCATGTGAGATAACTAGTTATACAACTATGATTGATAAATTAAATAAATAAATACTATCCACCAAGATAAATTGTGCAGAGCTAGCAACAAAGCCTGCTCTTATTCAGACGATGTTCTACTGGCAGATCAGGAAACTGCCACTTAAAAAAAAAAAACACCCAACAACAATCTCAGGTAGGTATTTGGCAGGAATAATATTGTTTGTTAAGGTGGATCATGGCAATAGACTTAAGCAGAGGGGGGAATTTTTGTTACAAAGTTGGTCCATGGTTAGAAAATTGAACTATTCGGTTGCAGGGGCTGCCTACATGTTCTGTAGTGTGTGTGTGTGTGTGTGTGTGTGTGTGTGTGTGTGTGTGTGTGTGTGTGTTGGGTGTTGTCTATTCAGGGTGGAGTGGCACTTTACAAATCAAAGGATGTCCAGTCCCGGATATCCAGGCGGATATGAACATATAGCTGAACCTGAGAGGTGGAGCCAAGCAAGGCTATTGCTGGGGAGGGTGTGCTTCTGTGTGCAGGACTCATTTATGTAGTTTGCCAAGCCACACAGAAAGAGGAATGATAGTGAACACGCAAGTGCTGCCAGCCTTTCCTAGTAAAAGCAAGGCTTTCGCATTGGTGTCAAAGCTTGAGCTACTATTCTCTCAGCCTGTCGAAAAGCATTCTCCAAGCTCTGTGAGCTGGCACACATGTAATGTTGTAGGAAGCAACCTGTATGAACCATTGCCTTGAAATCAAACAGCATGCCAGCGTGAGCTGTGACCCAAAAAAATATGACTTTTTCTTTCAACAGTTGCCATTTAAACCAAATCATTGGGTGGCAAAAGTGGCCAACTGGTTCAGTCTTGAGAGAAATGAAAAATGAAGAGTGCCTCTGAGCATCTGCAAAGTATGTTTTTTGTATTATAGCGCAGACTTATTGTAGATCTGGGAATAGCACTAAGATCTTCTAATTGGGAAAAAGACTATGACTGGTATACATTTGCTTCACACATTTTCCAATAGCCACACTTCCTCCCATCCCAGGAAGCCCACTGGGGTGCTCCAATGAGCCTGGTTCAGCAGAGATCTTGCATCTTTCTAGTTAGCTGCTGATGCTCAGTGATTCATGCACGAGTGAGCGTGGGTTTCACTATAGTCTTAAACTCTCCAGAAGGTTACTGTTTTTACAACTGATCCAGTATTTTTAGAAGTGAAAAACTTTACCTGCTGGTCCTGCACATCTAACAGCTATTCAACCTAGTACATTTATGACACATTTGTGCCTGCTGTTTAGTTTTAAAGCTGGTAACCTTACCCCAAATTGGATAAGTCCACCCTTGATCATTTTAACAGTTGGGAAAAAGGCTACTAACAATATTATAGCTGAAGGATGAGGTTTCTGATCAGTTTACGCAATAATAAATCAATCTTTGAGTTGCCAAAAAAATCTTTGTTTTCGAATGTGTATTTGCAACGAAAGATGTACATGATTAATCCTCTTGGAAATAATTGCTTTCATTTCAGCTTCTTGCTAAATGTTGTTTGTTCATTTGTGGTCCTGATCATGAGCCAATCTCAAAATAATGTGCTAGTATTTTTTCTTTTTGTAGAAGAGGAAAAGCAAGTAGAGTCCATTTTACAAAAAAAAACAAAACCCCTTATTCTGTCATCTTCTTTCTATTGCACTGATGGCGAACCTTTTAGAGACTGAGTGCCCAAAAACTGGCCCAGTCCCCACTCCACCTCCTCGCCTCGCTCTGCCCCCCATCCCCCGCTCCGCCTGCCGACAGGACCACTCACCGCCTCCAAGGCCCACCGTAGATCGCCCAGGCAGCCCAGCAGTGCTATGGTGGCCACACCCTCTGCCCGCACCCTGCAGCATCAACTGCACAATGGGGTGTGAGGGCAGAATCTTGTCTATGCTGCCTGGCTGCCATGTCCTTGGCTGCGCTGCTCTGTGTGGGCCACGCTCAGGGGTGACCCTCCTTCAGGGGGGCTGCTGGAGAGGAGGGGGTCATGGGGGGGAGGTAAGGCTGGGGCAACGGCATGTGTGCCCACAGAGAGGGCTCCGAGCGCCGCCTCTGGCACCGTGCCATAGGTTCGCCACCACTGTTCTATTGCAAAGGGCTTCCTTAACCAATCCTTCCTGGATTGGATAATCAAATGGGATTCTCATTTATTTTTTTCAACTTCCCACAGTAACTGGACCCTCATCGGCAGTCTGAGGTACAAACTCTAGCAATTCCTAAGAAACACAGCCCAAAGTTTTCATTGACAGATGGACAAAAAGAAGAAAGAGTTTGGTAAATGCCTTTATTAGCTACTGGGTGCAGGTCTACTACTTGGCTAAAGTGAGGGTGGGGGTTGCACAGGAAATATAATACTACTGTTTCTGCTGTTAAGACCTGGTTCAATGTTGGACACGGCGGATGGACTGGATCTGGCTGCTATGGGCTTGGCTGCTGTAGTCGGTGTACTTCCGATATTCACCACTCTGTCGGTCCCGCTCCAGGATATATTGGTAGCCTCGGTAGCCTGGATATTGATATGCCACCCACCTAGGGGGATAAAACAGAACATTAGGATGAGAGGCAATCAGACACATGTTCCTGCATTGGAAAGGGAATAGCACATCTTTTCCTAAGCTGGTATTTTAGGGCTTTACAGAAAATACCAGAATTGTGGGACGGGTGGTCTTATTAAATCAAGATAATTACTCAAGAGATGCTCTCCAATACTTATTATCTTGAACAGAAAATTGCACCAGGAGAAACAGAAGGCATCACTTACGCTCCAGAGAGAACCCTGATGGAGGATACTTCCTTGCTGCTCCATCCCATGGCTTGCAACGATGGATAGTCATCAGTCAGCTCAAACTTGTATCCTTGGAAGTTCTCTGACTCATATAGGGTCACTCTGCTGTCACTATGATTCTGCAACATAGCATAAAGTGGAAGATGTCTCAAGAGTAAGACTAAACACAAGCAAAAGAGATCACAATGACTTTTCCAGGTCTCGGGCTTCCTTTCTCCAGCTTGCACTTTTACATATTTTTGGAATGCCTCTCCAATGAGATATGCATGTTAGTAGCTCCCAGATCTCTTTCCATCTTTCCTCGAGATTAATTGTTTAAAGATAGGGCAACATGGTTCATGCTTATTGCTTTAATCCAGTGGTTCTCAACCTGTGGGTCGGGACCCCATTTGGGGTCAAACGACCATTTCACGGGGGTCGCCAAATAACGCAGTCCGCCATTTCCCCCCCCCCTTTTCCTTAGCTGTGGTACTCCCTTTTATTCTATTGGCTTTTGAAAGCCAATAGAATAGACTCTCTTGAATAGAGTCTAATTCTATTGGCTTTCAAAAGCCAATAGGAATTGTCCAGGCTGTCTCTGCCCTGCTGAGCCGCCAAAAGTCCCATTCTGCAAACGGTGCTGCACCAGTTGAGTAGTCCTCGACTTACGACCGGTTGAGTAGTCCTTGACTTATGACCGGTTGGGGGTCGCGGCATTAAAAAGGTTGAGAACCACTGCTTTAACCTATCCTGGCCTTTCCCTTCCTAATATGTCCTTCAGCGTGTTGGGATCTCAACTCCCAGAGTTCCCAGTCAGAAGCCTCAACAGCCATCCTGGTTGACAGTTACTATCCTAGAACACCTCCGGAGGCAGCAGGGTTGGAGAAGAGCCATATCCTCACTTTGAGACTTGTCCCTGTTTTACAGCTTTCTGCCTCCTGTGTCCAAACAGCACACTATGAATTGCTTTGCTGGGTCAGAACCAATTGGGAGGCTTATCTCATCTGCCAGTCCAATAGCAGACGCTTTCAGGTGTTCATAATTGAAGTGGATGCCAGTAATCGTTGGTGGTGATTGCTATTCTCATTGCTCGACATTTAAAACTAAAACCAAGCTAAAACCAAACAAATCACATTATGGTTTAGCGGGATTATAAGCACTGTCCATATGGGGGGAGGGGGGGGAGAAAATAAAGTTCCTTGGAGATTAAACAATGGCATCAGCTGCCCCATGGCTCTCATCACTCTTTCTTTTCATCTTCATTTCCCCCCTCTTCTTCTATTAACCCTCTTTTATTTTCTCCATCTATTTCAGTGACCCTCTGCTAAGAGCTAGATATTGCAGAATTGATGAAAAGGAAGATAAGGGCCTTTGTGAATTTTTTGTTTAGACTGTGTATTCATAATGTGCTATGCACAAGATGTGAATCCACAGCAAATTAACTCATAGTTAATTTACTACATTTATCAATAAATCTTATTAATCTCCTGGACTTACATGGTTCATTGTTCCCTAACTGATCCACCGAGACCAGATTCAGACAATATATTAGACTAAAATTGGCTAATGTATGGGAACTATTCATTTTTGCCTTCTAAATTAAGGTCACCGACTCTTGTGCAGCTTGATTCTACATCTTCCTTGGCTATCAATTTGTGTTTTATAACCAGATAGTCCTTGACTTAACAACCATTCGCTTAGCAACCATTCGAAGTTACAACGCTACTGGAAAAAGTGACTTACGACCATCCTAGCATCCCCACGCTCTCATGTTCAAAATTTCAGCGCTTGGCAATCAGCGTGTATTTACAACAGTTGCAGCGTCCCAGGATCATGGGATACAGTCAATCTGCCACCTTCCCAGCGGGTTTCTTGAGAGAATTCGCTTAACCACATGAATCACTTAACAACTGCAGTGGTTTGCTTAACAAACGTGGCAAAAAGGCTCGTAAAATGGGGTGCAACTCACTTAATAACAGTCTTGCTTTAGGCATGGAAATTCTGATCCCAATAAGTCGAGGACAACCTGTATTCTCTCCAAGCAGCTATTGTGAATTTCTGTGAATTATTGTGAGTTTGTATGCATGGAAACATCTGATAACATGCTTCTCAGGAAAAAATAAATAAAAATGAAGCCTCGGCTATTATAGAAAGAAAATGCCTTCCAACATTTCAAGGATTTAGGATTTGTAGGTTCCCAGGATCCCATGGATCGAAGGGGTTAAGTTGGCATCCTTTCATCTCCCTCTCTTCCTTCCATTGCACATCCCTGCAGCCTGCACTCCGCCAAGGGATCCTGCCAGCCGAGAAGGAGATGCTATCTTGCAGGCCTTTATTAAAGTGCGGACACAATCTGACTGGTTCTTATTAAAGCCCACAGATGGAGACGTGCAGAGATTTTAAAGCCCAGTTCAGAACCGAAGCAGCTGCTTTTGAGATGGAACGATACGTGCTGGCTATAGCTTTGTGGCAATGGGTGTTATACGTTCACACACACACACACACATCCCTCCATTATCCCCCTTTTAAAACCCTGACAGATAACACTTACTGCCCATACTGGTTATTTGCTTCTGGTAGCTTTGTAATATATGGCTGGTCTTTTAAAAAATTTTCTTCTACAAATAAAAGTGCCTAACTTAACTTATTTGTCTTCAGCCCAAGACTAGGCTATTATGAAAGCATTAAAAAAAATTCCCACAAAGGTGACTTTAGCCCCACACAGTCATCTTTTGGATGAGTAAATTTGGACAGGATTGACAGAACTACTAGGCAAAAATCTGATTGGTTAGTTTGGGCTAAATGAGAGCCCTCAGGCTGTTAAGGTAACAGTGGGAGAACTTTCAGACTTGCAGGATTCTTTAAATGTGGCTTTACAGTAAAGTAGAATTAGTTATTCTGGTCTTATTTCCTGTCTGATCTACCTAGGCAGGGTGACATCATTCTTGCTACTCTGGTACAAAGAGAGGAATTTCAGGAATGGCCTCCTATCCTCAAGAACTTTGCTATGCGCCAAGCACCTGGCAGCGGCTTTGTTGCAACACCAGCAGAAGTGAGTGCAGAAACGATCAATTTGCAGAATGCCATGATACAACTAATGCAACAGCTGGGGCAGAATTTGCCTCACGCCACTACAGCACCACAGATGGCAGCCTGGCCAATGCTCATGCATTCCCATGGGAGCGTGCTGGAGAAATTCAGAGGCAACCAGGATCAATTCTGGATATTCACTGTCCATGTGAAATGTTTATGACAGGCAGGTCGGTGGAGTTTCCCATTGATTGCACCAAAGTGACTTTTGTGCTGAGCTTTGCTGAAGAACGCAGCAGTTAAGTGGGCAATATCGTTCACCAAAGGGAACAAACTGGTGCAGGACAATTTATCAGGATTTCATGCATAAACTCCAAGGACACTTTGGGGATCCCATACAGAGAATCACTGCTAGGAGTGAGATGTGGAAGCTCAAGCAGGGACAGAGGAGAGTAAGGTCATATATTTTGGACTTTAAATTACTTGCTGGCAGTGTAGGGTGGAATGACTTAGCCCTGATTAACCTGGGGCTGGCTGAGGACCTAAGAGATGAGCTGATGAGGCAAGGCACCCCAATTACCCTGGAAGAGCTATATTAGCATTGTGTACTAATGGACTGCTGACCAGAGGAGTTAAGACAGAGAAGGAACAATGAGGGGAAAAGAACCTGCAATCATGGCCTCCTCAGAGACAGAGAACCCATGCCAGTCAGGGCAGCCAAGAGATCCCTGTCATCAGGAGAGAAGCAAAGAAGAAGGGATCAAGGACTATGCTTTTAGTGTGGGACCCCAGGACCCATAGCCAGATAATGCCCGGTGAAAACATCAATGAAGTTTCATCAAACACAGCAATGAGATGCAGAACTTGTAAATCAACAAAACATGTAGCCAGCAAGTGCCCAGGTTGCTCTGAAGCAACACTTCAAGGAAACTTCGCCAGCCCCAGCCTCCCAGGAATTCTGAAGGAGGACCCTCCACCACCATAGTTCAGATAGCCAAGAGAAGACAAGCATATTTAAATACTCCTGAGGTTGGAATTTTTTGTTGTAGTACAGGGGTAGGCAACCTTGGCTCTTTCACGCCTCGTGGACCAACTCCCAGAATTCCTGGCTCAGGAATTCTGGGAGTTGAAGTCCACGAGGCGTAAAAGAGCCAAGGTTGCCTAGCCCTGTTGTAGTAGAATCTGAAGCAACCACTGATTTCATAGATATAGAACTAGTATAGAAATTAAAGTTGCACGCTCAAACTATAGAAAGCCCAATAATAGGTGATTGATGGACAACCACTAAGAGCAGAGCTAATTCTGCTGCTCCTGGCTCTTTTGCAGTTTCCAGTCAAAGATCACTCAGAGTTCATAATGCTCTGTGCAACTGCCTCCTTCAAGTGCCCACCAACTTGGGGCCAGAACGGCTTCAGCTGCATGATCCACAAATGGACACAAGTGACACTCTCATTCCACTCCTCTAAATGCCCACAACATTACTTGCAGGCAATGAAAGCTTACCCCCACCACCATCTCACTCCAATGTGGAACAAGCCAGGAAAATATGCAGATTTTGTAGATGTATTTGGAGAGGAAGAGACAGCTCTGCTAGCCACCCCCTCCCAATCGGGCATGTGATTGCACCATCAATTTGAAGCCCAAAGCCCAGCAAAGACAGTATTCCATTTCTACCTGAAAATTAGCTATTTTCAAGGAATAAATTAATATTCAATACCCTTTCGTGCAGTTCCTAAAAGATCAATTCAGTGCAGCATTTGACCCCATCCCCTCAATGTTTTGGACTTTCCTTATCTGGTGGCCCTCTTTTTAAACAAAAAAGATCCTCTCACCCATCGGAGAAAATCAGGATGGGTGCTTTTTGAGTGTTTTAAAAAGAACTCACAGCACATCTGATAGTCCGGAAGGAGAGTAGATGCTCGGTCCTGTAAGCACTGTTTCCACTCCAGGCCTCCCAGTGAGGATATTCTCCTTTCTCCAAAATAAATTGCTGTCCTTGATATTCAGGATACTCAAAGCCTATCCAGCTATGGGGCAAGAAAAGAGAGAGAGAAAAAAAGCTTGAGGACATGTGGTTTCATATTCTAAAATCAAACTCAAATTCAGCTCAAATCTTAATATCAGAAAAAAAAATGGAAAAAGAGTGAGCAAAGTCTCACTTAGGACCTTTCCCCCAATTTCTCTTCCACAGTAATGCACTTTTTTTTAGTTTTGCAGATGTTATTTGGTGAAGCAAGTACTTGCTGTGCCTTTTCTTAACATAACTACCCTGGTAAAATATACATGTTCTTTAAGAGTTAAAAAGGATGGGACACCCTACTACCTACCTATGTGATCATCTTCTCTGCAGCACTGTGATTGCTGTAAATATTCTTTGAAGTTTGGGATAAACATCAAAGACGTTGCTTTGCAATCAAACAAACTACTGCCCTTTCAAATCTACAGGGATTCTGATTGCCAGCAGTGTTTCAAGAATTCAAGCATAGTTATTTCAAATTAATGACCTCACCCCAAATGCAAAGTATTAAACCTGTGGCCCCTGTAGTAAAGCAGGTGCTCTACTACAGAATTATGCTTTCCCTCACTTTATGTAAGGGTTTATCTGCTATTTCTTTCCTTTTTTAAATAGTTCGCTTATGGAAGTAATGCAGAGTACTGAAGCAAAATTAAACTGGAAAGATAATTCATATTTTGACTTTGCTATCTACAAATGGTTCATTAAAACTGTTAAAGAATTAGTATTTTTTCAAAACACACTGGATCCTATTATCCTGTAAATGGCTCAGTGCTTTTCAATGGTTGAATACTTAGAGCAATTATGCAATGTATAAATGATTCATATGTGATATTTAAATAAATCTATCTATCTATCTCTATAACTCAACAGAATTTTTTTAAAGTGTTGATGCAGAGTAAGATACCTAGGAATTTAGTAAGCAAAACCACAAATCATCATTAGAATTTGTAGCAATGCTATCTTTTATGTCTGATTTCAGTAAACCAGCTAAGATTTCTTTCCATCAATCAGTTAAAACTTTAATTACTTGGTCATCTTTAAAAATGACAGCTCCTTTGCAAGCTTTTTATTTATCCATATTCGATGTGAAAGCACACAGGTTCTCAGAATCAACTGAAAAGACTATAAAGGTGATATAGTTGGCAGAGATGGCAAAATTGTCTGTTCTAATTAAAGAAAAGAATATCTAGTACTGTTTTCATTTGGAAACCACTTCTGGAAACTGAAAAAAATGAATCTTTGATTTTAGATTTTGATGACTAGAATAACTTCGCTTTTATAGGAATGGCTTGAAACATTTAGAAATGTAAAGCAAAAGGTTGAGATTGTAACCATTTTTGCATTCTACTGCACTGAAAAAGTTGGAACTAATTACTTACTTTTTTTCTTTCTTTTTTCATTTCTTTCCTCTTTAATTTTCCTAACTTGTGTTTCGGTTTATACTTTATTTTATAATAAACTTTTAATTTAAAAAAAAATCAGCTGAAAAGACCAGAAGCTGCTGTGGGTTCCTAATGTACACTCTGAGCTGCAAAAACACTTACGGGCCATTTTCCACTTTGATGGAGCGAATCTTGCGGAAACCACGTTCCATGACATTGGGACATTCCATCAGGAATTCAGAACGCTTCCCCTGGAAATTTTCTTCTTCCCAGACAATGATCTTGAATTGCCCCATGCTCTCCATGTGGCTGGTCATTGGCAGATCTTTGGCTGTAGAGGTGGAATAGGATGGTTAAGAAACCACTTGTAGAGCAACTGGAGATTGTATGTGTGGAGGGGGAGAGATGCATATGTGTGAGTCATATCTGTCCTTTCTGGGTCCCTTGCCTGGTAAATCCCCTCAGCTAAGGACCAAGATGTCAAGAGGGAACTCTGGCAGGCATTATACAAGATTATCAAATAAAGAAGAGGAAGACTTAGGGAACACCCTGAGAGGCCAAGAAGAGGAAAAAATGTTCAAAAACAGAACAGGATTGCATGGCTACTAGGTGGATTGCAAGTTGAGGGAAATTTTGCTTTCTTCCTGACTAATCTACATAATGAGCACTATTTTCTACTTGCCATCCAGAGACTGAAGTCACACAGATGGTAATTAAGAGTATGACACTAAAGAAAGGGCTTAACAGACTCATTAATTGGATGACACGGGCATCTCATCTCTTACACATCATGTAGTCTTGCATGCAAGAAATTTTTCATGCTCTAGACTAAACCATGATTTACTAATTATCCCACCATTGGCTGGATTCAAATGTAATGATTAGCCATAAACAGAGAATTAGCATAAGTGGGTTACACAACACACTAAGACAGAATCAAACTAACTATGTTACAGCTTACTGTGATGCTATGGCTCATACACATTCTAACAGCAATTATGTTAGACAGGAAGGAGTGTCTTACCCTGAGGAGCATGTTTAGGAGTATTATTCAAGAGCAACATAGTCAAGAAGTTGGTATTGTTAGTATTATTAAAATTGCCAGCATTCACTCAATACCATTAGCTAGATCTGCTGAAGAATTAGTAGTTATATTCACACAGCATGCTTTAATCTTGTTTAGGGTTGAGCAGGGTTTAGTATGTTGCAAAGATAGCTTGAACATACAATACAGCACAATATTGGGCAGGGGCATTTTAATTTTCTGAATTGGGCGCCAAAGGCCTTCAGCAATCACCAGATCCGGAGGAACACCAGAGGATTCTGGAATAGAAGGAGCCTGGCCAAAGGGAACTCCCAAATTCAAGGGACTTTCTCCTGCCTCCCAACTGCATAAGGCGAGCCAAAACTGAAAGCCTTTCCTTTAAGGCTGCCTTGTTAGCTACACTGATGTCAGATTGGCACCCGCGGAATTCTACACACGCCTCCCAATCCTAATGTATAGTACACATTTGTGCACGCACGGATCATGTAGGCATGCGCGCACACACCTGCGGATCTCGGCGCTCCGCTTCTTCTCTCTCTCTCTGTCGACATAGTCTAATAGCCCTGCTGAGAATATGCGAGACGCGAAGAATTAGAAAGGAAGGTGAAACCGAAATGCCATCAGACCCCGTCGGCCTCGAGGTCGAGCCGTCCAGTTGCGAAAGAGGTTCCCCCTGTGCATTCCGACAGCAGCCACCGGCCACAAGCCAGCGAAGAACGGGAACAGCAGCCATCCAGCGCCGGCACCTCCAAAGGGCTTCTAAGGCAATCCAGGCCAAGAAAGCGCCACATCTCGGCGCAGCGCGCTGATCCTCCGCCTTCAGCCCTCCGCTGACCGACCAACTGCAGACTTAACGTCCCATAAAAGCCGCCGCCGCCTCCACCCCTCACCCCCACTACAAAAAAAGAGCCCTTCCCCAAGCTCAGGGAAGGCGGGCGAGTGCCCCAAAAGTGCCAGGATACCCCAAAGCAGCGCGCAGAGACTTACCGTTGGCGGAGCAGACAAGGGCAAAGATTGCAGATAGTGGGGCTGGAGGTCCCGGCCGCATTATATAGCCTGGCCTGGCCAGATGACAAGGGGAGAGCACAACAGGTTGCGCTGAGTCAGCAAGGGCAACTATGGGAGGGCCGGTTAGCCGGGCCTGTCCATTCCTCTTGCCCATCCTGGCGAGATGCTTCGCCTCTCCGAGGCCCATAAAGGGATGAAGTGGACATGTTAGCTTAGCAGTTGAAGAGCAAAAGATAAAGGCCCTGACGCACCGGTTCCCTTTCACCTCGGAACAAAGCCCAGCTCAGCTGCAGGATTAAGCTCGCCGCCCTTTCCCAGGCCATTGCGAGGGAGGGACCGGCCGGCTTTCCAAAGCGCAGGGGGAAAGCGCCCCTGGTGCCACCGTCGCGAGGCGAGATTAGCGCGAGGCCTCCCTCGAAATGCCCAACCTTTCCTTGTCGCTCCTCAGAAAGAGTCGTGCTTAGCTGCTACTTCGAGGACCCCCCCCAATCATCTGGGCTACCTAGCAGAGGGGGAACCAAGTTGGCCTACTTCGACGGTTGCTTCCCCCCCCCCCTTTATCAAAGCCTAAGGAACGGGCTCCACGTTTCTCAGAGCACGTTTACACGCGTTTTTTTAAAAAAAACTCATCGGAGAATTTTCCCTTGTTTCAAGCAGCAGCCAGAGACCTGTCCAAAATCAGCAAACCTCGCCCTGTAATATCGTCGGGAGACAGAAAGCAGCAGCAAAGGGGTTGGGAAATAATGCATTAAGCTATCAATCTTTTCCCCTTCCATCCGCAAAGTTCATAGCTGGCTGGAAAGTGAGCACCCGGCTCGACCCTTTTGCCTTTCCAGAGCATCCTTATGGGAGCCACACTGAATTTTGTGTCCCAGACCCAGCCCGGTTCCACTAAGATTTGATATGATTGTTCAATCTCTGTAGGTCCCACTAGAGGGCATAAAAGGGCAGGGATTGTACAAGGAACTGCAACAGAGGCCATTGGTTGGCAGTTATTTCCTAAGAAATAATCAAAACTTCATTTTCTCTCTCTTGGAGTTCTCCCTAATGATAATTCCCAAATACATGTATATTAAGGTGGGGTTTCCCCCCTACTGTTTACTTCTATTCTGGCAGCCTTCCAGTTCTTCTTTCAGATCTTTTGAAAAAATGTGTGCATATGGGCCAGATCTTGTGCTTTGGATATTTTTTGCAGCATTTCAAGGCATTTTAGGTGTTTTATAAATTATAATGAGTCTGAAATTTGATCTGATCAAAATAAACCTGAAATAAGTTGAAGAAGTTATCAAGCTAATCAAGTTTTTGCCCAGGGGAATAAAGTAATATATTTTAAAAAAACCTTTGATTTATTTTTCTATTGAAATATATTTATATATTATATCCGGTAGTGCTTTTAGTGATTAAGCTAGAAGGGGGTACATATTTTTTTTTAAATTGTCCAACCTCAGTGAGCTTAATGCATGAAATGGCATTTCAAATAATTTTGAGTTCATTGCAGAAGACCTGTGTTAATCGACATTAGTGAGAGAGACTAATAGCAGCTTTTGCAAGCTTAATTTTAATAAATTTGTTCATTGGAAAAACTGCTACCAGAAGCCCCTTGATTTTGTTTTAGTACATAAATTTGAGCACATAAATTTGAGTACATACATTTAAAACAGCTTTTTTTTAAAGAGTTTAAGCTGTGTGTTTGTTTAACTTCTTTAGTGGGATGAAAAGGTGAAAAAATCCAATTCCTGAACAGTTCATGCCCCTGGGATGCAGCTTATACATTGAACAAAAATAAAGCTTCCCCAAGGTGAGGCACAAAGCATGGCAGATAAAGAGAAGCACTATACAATGTAACTCACACTGCTTTTTTCTGGGATTTCCTGCCTAATTGTTTAGGACTGCAGTTGTGTATTTTATTTGGGGCCTCTTGCATGTTCTCTTTGTGTCATTCTGTGCTTTACCTTGACCCTAGGCTATTCACAGGCTGTCAATCACTTTGTTGCTTGCCTTACTCTAAGAGGAATATGGATTTGTGGTGAATTAGGCTTCCACTCAATAAAAAGCCAACATCAAATGGAAAAGTGGACTTGAATCATAGTGAGATTGTGAATTTGTTTATTATCAAGAAAAAGGAGGTGGAATGAAAGAAAAAAAAATACATGTTCTCTAGCATCTTTGCCTGATTCAGCATCTGAAGATGTTGGAACATCTACAGCAGGGCTTTTCAACCTTTTCACCCATTGTACCACTTTTAGGATATGGCAAAAGCTGAATACCACCAGTCGCCTAGCAAGGTGTTAAAAACTTGATGACCCCCCCCCAAAAAGGAAAAAGTGATAAAGTATAGGTAGTCCTCGACTTACAACAGCTAGCTTAGTGACTGTTCGAAGTTACAATGGCACTGAAAAAAGTGCCCCCCAAGCCACAGCCAAGCAAGACACCTGCCTGCCCACCCAACGGCGCTCTTCCTCTGCTAGGTGGTTGCAGCAGGTTTTGGTCACTTCACATGACCCTGGGACACTGTGACCATCATAAATACAAATCAGTTGCCCAGCATCTGAATGTAAATCACAAGACCCTGGAGGTGCTGCAACATTCCAGCTGATGGGCGCTTCTTCTGGACTCAGCAGAAGCGCCAGAATCAGTACTGCTTTCCAGCTGATTGGTGCTTCTTCAGGGTTCAGCTTGAGCCTGGCTCTTCCACTGAGCTCTGACAGTCCCGAAGAAGCACTGATCAGCTGGAAAGCGGCACTGATCCTGGCGCTTCCGCTGAACCCTGACAGCCCTGCAGCTCCAGCCATCTCTCACTCAGGCTTGTGTGGTGCTGCCACCGGTTCAGCTCATTCCCCTCCCCCGCTACCACTTTTCTAGGATGGTCGCGTACCACCTGCCAGGTGCCAATGTACCACAGATGGTACCCGTACCACTGGTTGAAAAGCCCTGATCTAGAGATGTTTTACTCCATAATTCTTAGAACCTTTAGCAAACCTAATCTCTGCTGGAAATTATGGGAGCTGTCATTCTACATTCTATATTTTACAGATTGTGAAAAGCTGCTTGGAGAACAATTGCTCCAGTGGCTAATTAATGTTATGGCCAAGATAATCTGAATAGTCGTCTAGTCTTGCACCTGCAAATCTTTTCTTTCCGATAAAGTTTTCACTCTCCTTGATTATGTCAGAGATAATCATTTCTTCTTCCAGAGATGGAAGTCTCTCAATTGCTGGAGAACTTAAACAGGCTGGATGGCTATCTGTCACAGGTGGGCAGGAGTGGACTCTTGCAGTGGAGGTTGGACTAAATGTTTTCTGAGCTTACTTCCTATTTTTACATTCTTTCATTCTGCTGTGTAAATCAGCTGGATTAGTCCAGGGGTAGGCAACCTTGGCTCTTTTATGACTCGTGGACTTCAACTCCCAGAATTCCTGAGCCAGCCATGCTGAGGGGAAAGGGAGAGGTTTCCAAGCTGAGCCATGCTGGCTCAGGAATTCTGGGAGTTGAAGTCCACGAGTCATAAAAGAGCCAAGGTTGCCTACCCCTGGATTAGTCCAACCCATTCTAGATGCAGGAAGACAGAATGTTACACTCAGCAGAAATAGTTTAAATTTAGGTAAACCTAGTTTAGTGACCACAATTAGGACTGGCAACTCGGTTGTTATGAACTTGTTGCTAAGTGAAACTACAAGGATGCTTATTATCTTACTTCAGCTTTCCTTTGCTTTACAGACCTACAAAGGTCATAAATGCATGGATTGGTGATAAAGTTACTTTTTCATCACTGAATAGATGCTAAGCAACTTCATTTCCCCCTGAAAACAAGACAATTTGGGTTTACATGTTAAATACCAGCCAATTTGTTGTACTAGTTAAGGCACCAGGTTTAGAAACCAGGAGATAGTAATTGTAATCTCGCCTTAGGCACAAACTCACTTGGGTGATTTTGGGCCAGGCACTCCCTCTGAGCCCTAGGAAGGACCCAATGGCAAACCACTTCTGAAATCTTGCCAAGAAAGCTGCAGATACCCCGTAAATGCCGGCGTATAAGACGACTTCCGCGAGCGCTGAAATGGGCGCCAAAGACGGGGGTCGTCTTATACGCCGAGTCGTCTTATACGCCGGAAATACTGGTAGTTTCTGGCGGTATAAGACGACGTTCTAGGAATGTGGCCCGGCTATAAAGACGGAGGTCGTCTTATATGCCGGGTCGCCTAATATGCCGGCATATACGGTACTTGTCCAGGCAGTCCCAGAAGTCAACACCGACTTAAAGGCACACATTTCCCCCCACAAACTATATTAAAGGACTGAACTACTTATATGACCTCTATTTTGGCCTTCCTGTTTCACTGTCCTTTATGCTTCCTGACTTGGCATGATGGAATAAAAGACTGAGTTCACTCGTTGTGTTAAACTATTGTGTACTTTGTTCATTAGTTTAGCATCATGTATCCATTATGGCTTAGCATTTTATGCAAAACAAGGCATTATAGCTTGTTGAAGAAACTATCACTTAAAAATCCTGGGTTAACAATTTTTTTGATTTTAAAAAATGAAGATTTGCTTGGATTTAATTTATAGGAAGCCATGGATCAAATTACCACAAAGGCTAATTTCACATCGCCAATGTTTTAAGCCGTCTTTTTTTTTTCCAGATCTTGATATTCCCTAGAAGCAGTGAAGCATCTGACCATTCTACCAATATTGATGGAGATGTTCAGCAGACGAAATACCTGTTTTGAATCTAACATGAGTTTAAAATAATAGTTGGAGATTTTAACTGATATAGTTTGTATATAGAATTTGTTTCATTTAATAAACCTCTAGGGCAGACATGTCAAACTCATGACATCACGTGACGTTGCGCAATGTATCGGAGCTTTTTCTCCATTGCCGGCAATGGAGTGGGTGCGGTTTCCTGGTGACGTGTCTGGCCTGCGGGCCGGCAGTTTAACACCCCTGCTCTTGGGGATCTACAAAGAATAAAATATTATTTACTTTGATTTATTTTGTTTTCTTTTATGACAGGCAGAAGTATAAGTCATTGGTTAATCATTTCATTTGCTGAGCTGGGTAATGAGACCAAATCTTTTATTTCATTAAAAGTGACCCAACCAATGAAACAACTTCTTCCATATCTTGTGACTGTTCCCATGGCATAGACATTTACATTGCACCTAT